GTTGCATGAATAAATACTGACTGAATGAATTGTATTAAAAGTGTATTTTTTCTATGTGTAATGTGATTTAATCAGTCAACCAATATTTATAAGCATCAATTCTGTGCCTAGTGTGGTGTTCTGTCTATGGCACTTGTAAATAGCAGGTCCTCTTCCAAGCACTTTACATAAGCAACTCTTTTAATCTCTCCAATAACCCTACAAGGTGGTCTGAAAAGATCCCCCAAAATAGTAAGACATGACTCCTTTCCATATGGAGCTACAAATCTAGTTGAGAAATAATACTAATGGAAATGAAATAGTTAGAAAACAAAGCAAGTTTGTAATATAAACACAATTATTAAATTTTGACAATAGTCAAATTTTAGAAAAAAGGAATATAGGCAGGTGTTTCAACTTTTAAAAGGAGTTGGTCATTCATCTTGGTCTTAAATGATGGGAGGAATTCGGATAGATGAAGGGAGGAAGGGGATGATACTTCTGCAAAGAACAACTAAATTAAGGTAGAGACCAAGGATGATCCTTGGGGCCCGGTAATAATGGTGTATGTCACTGAGCAGGTAGGAGGGGCAGGCCGTAGATAGCTTTGAAACCTAGGCAGAAAGGTTTGGACAGGAGGTGGTGGGCATCAGTAAATCACTGCTTTTGTGTAATTTATATAGTCAGGAAAATAAGTCTTCTAGCCATAAGTGGATTAAATGGAATAGAGTATAAAGCACTTGTCCCAGTTCTTGGCATGTAATAACTATCACTAAATGGTAGCTGTTATTATTACTGCTAATAATAATAATAATAGCAGAGAAAGTTTTGCCTTGAATTTTTAACCTGGATAAATAGACTCATTCTGGTTTGTTTGTTTGTTTGTTTGTTTGTTTGTTTTAAGTCAGGTCTACCTAATTTGTCTTTCTAAAGCTTAACTAATGATAGTATATTGATTAAGACAAACAACTGGGATTCCCTATGAAGAAATGGGCAGATCCCACATATACTCCAGTAAAGAAAATATGTTGTTTTAATGTCATACCCATAGACAGAGCTAAAAAATAATCACACGAGGGTGCCTGGGTGGCTCAGTAGGTTAAGAGTCTGACTTGATTTTGGTTTGAAGTCTTGATCTTGGGATCCAGGGATCAAGCCCTGCCTCGGGATCCACACTCAGTGGGGAGTTTGCTTGTCCCTCTCCCTCTACTCCTCCCCCTGCTCATGCTCTCTCTCAAATAGATAAATAAAATCTTAAAGAAAAAAAGCACATGATAAAGTTTCCAAACTACTAGCTACCTATACTTTATTAAAATGTGCTATTGCCACCATGAAAAACAGTGTGATGTTTCCTCAAAAAATTAAAAATAAAATTACTGTATGACACAGTGATTCCATTTCTGGGTATATACACAAAAGAATTAAAAGCAGGATCCCAGATAATTTGCACACCTGTGTTCATAGCAGCATTATTCACAATAGCTAAAATATGGAAGCAGTACAAGTGTCCATAGATGGATGAATGGATATGCAAAATGTGGTGTGTATACACACACACACACACACACACACACACACACACACACACAATGGAATATTAGTCAACCTTAAAAAGGGAAGAAATTCTGACAGATGCTGCAACATGGATGAACCTCAAAGACATTATGTTAAGTTCAATGAGCCAGTCACAGAAAGATAAATACTGTATGATCCCATTTATATGAAATACTTAGAATAGTCAAAATCATAGAGACAGAAAGCAGAATGGTGGTTGCCAGGGTTTTGGGGGAGGAGGGATAGGAGAACTATGGTTTAATGGGTATAGATTTTCAGTTTTACAAGATTAAAAGAGTTATGAAGATAGGTGGGTATAACGGTTGCACAACATAATTAATGCATTTAATATCTTTGAACTGTATGCTTAAGAATAGTTAAGATGGTAAATTTCATGTTATATGTATTTTACCATAATAAAAAAAATTGGGGCAAAGAAGTGCTATTTGCAACTCTACAGAATCCAGTTATAGCTTTTTGATATATCCCCATGGAAGATACTTCACTAAAATTCAGCTGGTATAAAAACAGGCATTTCCCAGAGGGATAAACAAAGAAGGCATAATAACCTTTGCAAGATCCTCCATAAACTTCAAAGGATAGGAGAATGCCTGTAAGGTTTTTTGTTTTGTTTTGTTTTTTTGGGTTTTTTGTTTGTTTGGTTGGTTTTTTGTTTTGTTTTGTGATGATAGGGGAGGTGGAGTATAAGCAAACTGTATCTCAAAAAACTTAAAAAAAAATCCATCTAATTATAGTGTACCAATTTTCTTAGTACAATATATTTCATACTAACTATTCTCCATATTGTTTTCCAGAGTTAACAGTGCAACTTATAATTAAATATTATGCTAGATGAAGAAACATAGGCCAAAGTTCAAAATGAGCTATATGTGGATAGAGAGATCTGAACAACAGAGCTTCTGTAGGGGAAAGGACTAAAAAGTTGAAAAGACAGCAAGGGACGGGGAGAAAAAAAGTGATTCAAGCCTTTTAAAGGTTTCAAAGCCAAGAATTTAAATTCAAAAGTATTAGTCCGAAATCACTTAAATTCATGTATGCAGTTTGCATTATTGTCCATGTCTCCCAACGTAGAAAACAGTTTCTTTACGCAACACCCCAGGCCTGCTCCATCTAATTAACAGAGAAAGGTCATCTGCACACAGGAAAGCACTACCTTTGCTGCTAAAGAGCTGGATTAATCTTTTAACAAAGTCTTAAATATTTCTAATTGCCTTTGCCCTTAAATCTTGGTATTCATCAGACTTTCAGCCATATTTTCTGTCCTCTTCCTTGGTGTGGACCTGCAGTGCCACACATTCCAGCCTGCCCTCCACACCCTTTGCACAATCACCCATCCTAAGTGGGGCTTTATGGACAGAACAAATTTTTTCCTAGCCATCGTCTTTGCAGCCTTGTGACAGAGGTCCCTTTGCCTCTTGAAGGTTTATATGCCACTATGACACTATGACACTATGGCACACACTTTCTTTTTTTTTCTTTTTTAGACACACACTCAGTTTCTAACAGTAAGATTAACTTGGAGTAAAAAATGCACTGTGTATTTTGGGTGCAGGTCACTGTTTGCTGTTCTGGTTGGCAATGTACACAATGATTTAAGCAATACTCCTTTGGGCATTTTAGTTTAGGGTGTGGCTATTATGTGACACAGCTGTCAACTCTTGGTTTGTTCTTGAGGGCAATTAGCAGAAAACTGGTTTTTCTGTTTTGGTTTGTTTGGACTAACTACTTGCTCAAGCAGAAGGAGCTTGCCTTCAACACTGAGGCAAACTCAACAAGGAGGTCAGGTTGGTTCTCCATCTCTGTCATGAAATGAAACCATTTATGATATCTTCTATATCCTGGTATCTCTTGATATCTACTCTTCTGAGCTTGCTCCAACCTCTCCCTTCATGGCATCAGATAAAGTTTGTGGGTCCCAGGAACTGGGATCCAGGCATGGTTTCCATCTTGCTGGCCAGCGGGCAGATGCTGAGACCAGAGACCTGGGTAGTAGCTATATAGCTGCGGAGCAGCCATGACATATTCTGGGAAACAAAAATAATTGCTGAACATCAAAGTGTATGTGAAAGCACTTTTCCCTCTTTGACTCAAGAATATTATCATGAACCTTAGCAAAACAAAGCAATGGTGCTAATTCAGTCTTCTGAACATTAGGCTTGAACCTGAACATGCTTTTGAAATGAGTTAAGGGTTTAAACAGTGAGTGGACTAGTTTAACTCTTGTTTATTGCTTTATCCTCCATTCTGGCTTTGTCCCAGAGGTTTCCATTGGCTCTAGCAGCTTTAGAGTCAGTCTCTCTGATGTATTTGCATCTGACCTCTGACCTAAACTGCAGTGTTATTTTCAGCTGTTCTTTGACAGGGAATCCAACAGCTGCTGTTTAATACCACAGACAGCTTGTGACACGTGCTGGGTTTCTAGCAAGAGGATTAATCTGATGATCTTGGGCTCTGATTTGAAGCTGTCTGTAATTTTCCTGCATAATGGGTGGAGAAGAATAAAAATGAAACCTGAAGTACATTGTTATCCTTTTTAAAAAATTCAGTAAAATATACAGTGTTAACCCTTAATTAAACAAACAAACAAAAAAACCATTTTGTTGCTGCAATTAAAAGGTAATAACAAGGTAATTACTTCCTGGTAGTTGTGATAATTGAATTTGAAAATGCTAGTGAGTGGAGTAAGTAATCACAAAGAAATCCTGAAATGGTAGATATCGATAATTGCTCATTGAAATATTTTTTAAATGTCCCTAAGAAATCTGAAGCTCTGAGAAAATGTGACCATGCCACATAAACTTAACAAAAGGCAATAAGTTTTAGAAAAGCGAATTAATCTAAAATTATAAGCAACTTTGTGGCTTAATTCCAAAATACATACTAGAACTTATTATTTTTTTTAAAGATTTTGTTTATTTATTTGACAGAGAGAGACACAGCGAGAGACGGAACACAAGCAGAGGGAGTGGAGGAGGGAGAAGCAGGCTTCCCGCTAAGCAGGGAGCCCAATGTGGGGCTGGATCCCAGGACCCTGGGATCATGACCTGAGCCGAAGGCAGACGCTTAATGATTGAGCCACCCAGACGCCCCTAGAACTTATTTTTAAAGTACATTTTGTGGGGTTTTCTTTGCATAAGGGAGACTTGAAAATCTTGAAAAGATTGATATCCAGGTCCCTGATTGGCTGGTTTCAAAGTCCACCCTAGCTATAATAGATTCAATGGCAAAATTAATTTGGGTTGTCAGGATGTAATTTTTTTTCCCTTTGCTATTAAACATCAACTGATAGGCAGAGAGCTAGAAACTGCCCTCCCCATTTAAGATAATGGCAAAAATATCAGGCACTTAGTGTTACCATACCAGGGGTGTGGCTATTCTTTCCCATTCTCTTCTCTCTCTCTCCCCTCTCGTGATAAACTCAATGGGGTTGTCTATTTTTAACCTCCTGTTCTTTCCTTTTGGCAGAGTAATCAGTGCGAGCTGAGCTCTTTCCCTGAATGAATCCAAGTAGCCCCAGTGATTGCCTTCTGAAATGACCAGCAGACACACATCTGTCCAGAGGCTGTCCAGAGTATAAATTCTGGTTCTAAAGTACCATGTCCAGCCAAGGAAGTCCTGGTGTGGAGTTTTCTACGACGACAGTTAGTTCAGTAGCTGTTCAGGCTGGGGACTCCAAAGTCGTGATAGCTGTCATAAAGGTAAGACAACTTTCTTTTTTCTCTGTGGCTCTTGGCTTTTTGCAGGGTGTTAATAATCCTAAAGAACATTCCACATATTCAGCAGCACTCAGCATATAGAAAATAGCATAGCAAGTACATCTTACTTCTAAGTTTAAGCAACCTACCATGGTTTCTCTTTCAGTTAGTCAGAAAACATCTACAGCAGCTTAATTAAAACAAAAACAAAAAACTCTACCGTATACTTTCAATTTGGTTTTTAAAGTCTAGGTACTCATGACTGCAAGTTCACAGGCTGGAGAATCAAGGGGACCTGTAAAATGTGTGTGATTTTTGAGAGTGGATGTGATGGAGGACTGAAGAGGACGGTCCCAGTAGATACATGATGGAGGGCAGGGAACACCTAATAGGAGGCTCTGATATGTGCCCTCTGCAGCACTGCTTTTGACATGGTAAAGGCACTAGTAAATCCTTATCACATTTTGGGGGAATGAAGACCCTGCCAGGGAAGGTGCAAAGGGCAGATGTCAAATTTGCCCTTATCAGCAGGAAGTTGAAGCCACTTGAGGCTTAGGGCTAGTGCATATTTTATGTCCAAGTAATTTGCTGATTTGCAAAGATGGCCACATACCTTTAGGTTGAAGAAGACATCCATGATTTTATTTCCTATGAAACGTCTTGCAAAAACCCTTGAAGCATTATGCTTGGATTTAGACAAGTCACTACTTCAGGAATTCAGTGTTTAATGAAGTGAACAAGGCAAACAAGCTGGTGCCCACCAGCCAGTTACTTTCAGGACCGCACAAACCTGAGCTGAATGACTTCTCTGGCCTTTGTTAGAAGCGTGGACTGAGGCCTGTTTAATTTAACTTAATTGCTGTGAATTTTATGTTAATATGAAAAGTTATAACAGGAAAGCCGCACTTGATACTATGCAAAACGATTCACTCTAGAAGAGCTGAATATAAAGTGTTCCTACTGATGTGATTCCCAGTGCTCTTGAGACTTGGCCCCATGCAAATAGCACCTCTGATGATTCCCTGGCCCTCAAGTCCTTTCAAAGGCAGTAGGTGGACATGGAAAGAAGCCTGAAGCAGAAGTAGCAAAAATTGATAATTTGCATGTGATTTTATGATGCTTTGAGTAACTACAAATTTCAGCAGTGAGGGAAGAGAGGCAAACTCATTGTTTTAAAAAAGTTAACTTTTCTTTCCCTCAAATAGGAAACATTTCTTAGAGCAGGAAGAGGAATAATGTGTATGGGATAAATTATAGGAGAATCAGAGGTCAATTGACAGTGCAGGGGAAAAAAAAAGCCCTAAAATTATGCTGGAAATACTTATTTTAACTTGATCGTGTTTCTAAGAATGTTCCCTCTGACCACCCTCCACAGCTTCTTTAACTTACTGCTGTCCCAAATAAAATAAACCTCAAGCTATTTTATTTTAGAGTAGAAAGTCCATCTTAAAGGAATAGAAGTATCTGTGTCTGATCTGTATGGGTTTGTTTCCAAATGGTCTTAGGGCACTCATGATCTGGACTAGCCACACATATTTTTCGTTTCTCTTCAACAATTTGCTTATCCATGTGCACGTGCCTTTTAGTAGTTCCTCTTGCTTAATCAGTTGTTGCTTCTTAGAAAAGCAATTCCTCAGGAAATGCAATGGGGAATTATATCTTGGAGCAGTGAAAGTGTCCTACGTGTGGAAAACAAATTGGCTGCATTCATACAGCTGTTGTCACATGCATCTAAATTTATTGACATTTTCATACATACTTTATTGATTACTCAACAACAAAAGTTGGAAAATGTTATGTTTTTAACTTTACTGTAAGATAAAAATCTGTTGCTTCATCTGCTGTTTATTCTTCCCAGTTGAACCAGTGAGGTCAATGTAAAGACACTGATCAGCCTAAATAGCATTTATAAAACCTTTCCCTTTTGGTGAAATTTGCATCCCATTTGCCCCTATATGCAATTTCACTATTTTTATGGAATTAAGTTTTGTGAGAGAGAGAATGTACAATTGTGTAACATGTGCTGTAATTTTATAATACTCAATAATACACAATCTATTGTATGTGTTCTTCATTTGAGAATTTTTAATTTAAATACAGTATGCCAAGAGAAAAGAATTTACCCTAAGAGTGAAAAAAAAGACAGGGTGTGGATTTATATTAAACCTGTTATATTTCAATTTCAGGAAGGCCTATCTCTATAGAAAGAATAAATTTGTTCACAGTAAAACTAAAACAGAAAAAAAGAAAGAAAGAAAGAAGAAAAAGGAGAAGGGTAAAGGGGAAGAAACAAGAGGAACTAAAAGTGCATTTTATTTCATTTTTATTTATAGTGTGGCAAGTGGGTGCAACTTCAGTTGGCTGAATCACAGCCCAATCTTCTAGAAATTGGTAGCAGTCAAGATGAGACCAAAAAACTTCTTCATGATCATGAACTTCTTTTGGCCAAGCTCAAGGTAAGCTATTAAAATGTGAAGCAGATACAAAATTAAAAAGAAAATAAAAAGCTATTTCTTATACTTCCTCTTGATTTCTCTGACATCACTGGCCTATTGCCCTATTGATAATGGAAAATCTCTATAGTTATTTATGAGCAAATACCAGCATTCGAGAGAGGTAACAAGATTTTTTAAAAACTTTCCCTAATGTGATAGAAAATATGGAGTGATAATATTTCCACTGTGTAGAAATAACTAATTTTTTTTCCTGGCTGCCTCAGTGAAAAAAAAAATTCCATCATTTTTCCATTTCATACATTATACTGTTAAGTCACAACAACAGATCCAAACTTTCTGTTGTTAATGATACCTGCTGGCAAGAATAATATAGAAGCTTATTTTCCCTCTGTTGAACTGTTGAAAACATCTGATTTTGTATTTAATATTAAGAGTTCTTGAAACCAAATAATAATTTTAGGAAAATCAGAGTTATTATTCCATATATGTGTGGTTATTTAGTTCAGAATCTAAAAATAACATTAGCTTGAGATTCCCAGATAAGGTATCAAGTCAGGGCCAGCTACACAACTTGTGGGGCTTAGTGCAAAATAAAAAGGTGGGCTTCCTGTTTAAAAAGCAAGAAAAAGCTTTTTCTTGACCTGTCACATTGTATTTTATCTGCTATTTAATGTCTAGTTCCTTCAGGCCTGGGATACATTCTGGCCGAGTGCACACCCTCACAGGCTCTGGGCCCCCGCCATGGCTCAGTCACAGGGTGTGGGCCTGACCCCAGGCTTTCCCTAGCTGTGCCTTGACCCCAGCAGGGCAGATGGCAGAGGTCATTGAACAAGGGTAGGGGAGCAGACAGGATAGCAGAGACTCTCTGGGAGGCAGGGCTCCATGTGAGATAAAGCACCGATCCCCCAGCACTTCCTCTGTTGTCCCATTGGACTTACAAAACACAAATTCAGAAATCAAATTATTAAAAAGTTCAAAACAGTGACAGGCAGAGTCACTTTAAATCCCAAGTTTAAACCCTTCTAAGAACAGAGCCCAGGGATGCAGCCAGCCATGTGAGTAAGAACGCTTGTAGGTAAATGAATGTCTTCACTAAGATCAAAGAGGTTTGATTAGGCAGCCAGCAATGACTCTGTTTTTAGTGCTTTAATATTACTGTCTTCTTTGAACATCCTAGGCTGGATTGTATACTTGCTTCCCAGATTTAGAAGCAGCTCTAAACTGCATCTGATATATACAGACAGTGGTTTTCTGATTGGACAGTAATAAAAGTAATTGGGTATATGAGACTGAAAAGTTGAAGAAAGAATTAGTACTGAAGGAGGGAGCCATTAGAATCCAGAATTTATTCTCCTGTTTAGGCAGCTCCTTGCTCTGGGCTCTGGGCTGTCTTTCAAAGTAGAAATCCCTGGCCACCAGGAAGTCCTTTGTATGTAAGAAAAGAACACATTATGATGTGAAAGAGCATTGAACCAGGAATCAAAAGATCTATGTTTTAGCACTAATTATACCGTTAACTAGTGTAATTCAGCTAAAAATTCAAAGTCTGACTGCGGCTGCTACACAAATAAACTGAATTCCATGAATTGTGGAAACCCAATACTTCCTCAAAATTCCTGCTCATCCCTAGAGGTTTACTTTCTCATGGTCTCCTGTGTCCCCAGCTCCTTCTTCTATACCTGCCAACTGTTTGTGCTGAAGTTAACTTGGACTTGAAACTACATCCCTTCCCCTGTTTCCACTAACTCTTCATGCCCAGCCAGCATTTGCAGGTGTACTAATGAAATGTGAGTGGTGGGGAAGCTCACGGAAGTGTGGGTCTTTCACGCTCCCTCTTTCTCCCAACCCTGTGCCTCTCCAGGGCCACACAACTCCAGGGGGAATGCTGTCTCAGGCAAAGCAGTTTGGCTCCACAGCAACTATGCTTAAATGCTTAAATTTGCTTACCTCAATCAATCCAGGAGCTCAGTGGGGTGGGGGTGGGGAAGGAAAAGGGCTTTCCATTTAACAGGATCCATCCTCAGAAGATGCTTGTGGTTCAGAATGTAAAGTCCTGTTGTCCTTTTATGCCAGGCTTCTGGCTATGGACTACCTTCTGGACTTCAGGCTTTTTAACGGTAAAATGAAGGGAGAAGATTGATCAAAGCTCCATATCTATTGTGGATCTTACCATAAGGTGCCATGGGATCATGGAGCCATTCTCCTTCTCTGTACATGGATCTAAGAACATGAGGTCTCAGGTAAAAAGGCCTTTTGGCTTCACGTAGGCCTCTAGCCATGACCTCTCTATGTCCATCTCCCATACCCTCCTCGACCCCACCTATCACTAGCAACTTAGCCACCCACCCCCCAAAGAAATTTTAAGTAGTAGCATCCTCCTCCAATGTTATTGATTAAAAAAAAGAAATCAAGGAGTCTGAAGTCTGTTCCAGATTTGCTGACAAAAGACTTCTTAAAATAAAAAAGTGGGGCGCCTGGTTGGCCCAGTCGGTCAAGCAGTCACCTTCAGCTCAGGTCATGGTGGCTGGGGTGTGGAGTGGGGGAGGGGGGGGTCCCTGCTCAGCAGGGAGCCTGCATTTCCCTCTCCCTCTCCTCTTCCCTCTGCTTGTGCTCTCTTGCTCTCTCTGTCAAATAAATAAATAAAATCTTAAAAAAAGATTAAAAAATAATAAAAAGGTAAATTCCATATTGCAGATGTATAGATCATGAATTTAACCAATTTATTAGCTATTACACTGTCTCGTAGGGACAACTTAACCTGTAGCACAAAGTTGTTGGATCCAGGTTAGTTTTTTATTTTAAATATTTTATTTATTTATTTATTTGAGAGCAAGAATGAGATAGAGAGAGCATGAGAGGGGGGAGGGTCAGAGGGAGAAGCAGACTCCCTGCTCATCAGGGAGCCTGATGCAGGACTCGATCCCGGGACTCCAGGATCATGACCTGAGCCGAAGGCAGTCGCTTAACCAACTGAGCCACCCAGGCACCTGGATCCAAGTTAATTTTAATATGAGCTTTTTTAAGATTTTATTTATTTATTTGACAGAGAGAGACACAGCGAGAGAGGGAACACAAGCAGGGGGAGAAGCAGACTCCCGCTGAGCAGGAAGCCCAATGTGGGACTTGATCCCAGGACTCTGGGATCATGACCTGAGCCAAAGGCAGATGCTTAACGACTGAGCCACCCAGGTGCCCAATATGAGCTTTTTGAATGATAACAACATTAGCAGTTCAAAAAGCCAATAATATTTAATATTTAATGTTCATTCCAGTCCTTTTCTGATGCACAGGGCCCTGCAATTTATTCTGATTATAAAGATAAATGCTGTGTAAGGGTGTTTGAGAGGGTGTAGGATTCAGTGCTGAGTCTACTCTAATTTGGGCATAGCAGTTAGCCTCTCCGGTTTCAGGTTCTTCATTTGAAAAATTATGATAAAAGCAGTTACCCTCAAACACCTAAAAATGGAAATTTTGGGGGAAAATGCAATGATATATGTATATACCTGCTGCTTTTAAAACAAAAAGTGGTATAAATGTTCTGTTAATAATTAACATGTCAGAGGAATTTGGATATTTAATTTGATAGAAAAGCAATGTTCTGCCTCCATTGAAAATTATCTCAAACCCTTTTAATTTAGATTAAAAGGGAAATTTCTGGAAACAGAATTTTTGTGAGATTTTCCTAATGTTGGTAATGTCTATACCCTGAAGATATTATTTTCCTTTCAGCAGTATAGTACTTAATTCCAGTGGAATGTCCAGAGAAAAAATAATTTCCCTATTTTCAGTGGTGAAAACATAATCATGTGGAAAAAGCATTAACTCCCAAAAGGCATCTAGATTCTCAAACCATACTCAAATTATTTCTAATGAGAAAGAAGAAATTTGGGAAAGGGGAGAGAGATTTAAGTCAGGTAAAGATTTGCCTATGGCTGCTTTTGACATTGCATTCCTAAGTGGTTCTCAGAGGAAAGAGGAATTGGAAGGACTTTAAGGATGTTGCTGAGAATATTCTCCTCAGCATCTGCCTTGTAACTAACGACATTGCAATTGTCCAAAGGAATTTACAAACCAAACAAACTTCCGGCCACTGGCTCCTGTATTGGTACATATACAATATTAGCATCCAGGGAAGAATGACCCTTTTGAGTATAGAATACTAAATTTCACCTCTGATTTGACTTATAAATCTATTGGTTCCCTGATTCCGACTAAATTTCTGACTCAGGGAATACTTATTTTTCTCCTATTTCCATTTACTCAGCTAAAAATGAATGCATGAGAGTCAAAATATATTACTAGTAAAACTAAACGTCTTATTAAAACTTGCCTTACATAAGAAATAGCATGATTTTCTACTATAAACTTGAGTATTCACTAAGAGTGTAGTATTTAAAATTTTTTTATTGTGGTAAAATATATATAACATAAAATTTGCAATTTCAACCCGTTTTTAAGTGTACATTTTATGGCATTAATTATACTCACAGTGTTGTACAGCTATCACCACTATTTCCCAAGCTTTTTCTTCACTTCAAATATAAACTCTGCACCTAGTAAGCAATGACTCTTATTCCTGCCTTCTCTGGTAACCTCAAATCTACTTTCTGCCTCTACAAATGTGTCCATTTTAGGTGCTTCATATAAATGGACTCACTCATATACTTGTCCTTTATGGTGGGCTTTATTTCACTTAGCATATAATGTTTTCAAGGTTCCTCCATGTTGTAGTATGTATCAGAACTTCATTCCTTTTTATGAATGACTAATACTTTATTGTATGGATATACCACATTTTATTTATCCATTCATACTTTGATGGACCCTTGAGTTGTTTCTGCTTTTCAACTATTATGAATAATTCTGCAATGAACATTGGCATACAAGTATCAGAGTACCTATTTTCAGTCATGTTGGGTATATTTAATTTTTTGAAGACACACCAAAAGGTTTTCACAGCAGCTGCATCATATTACATTCCTACCAGCAACATACATGTG